TATATTACTCTGGCTTCGCGCATTTTAAAATGTAGATTTTCTGGTGGGTCTCAATGTAGATATTAATAAAATGTGTCTTTTTTTGTTAAAAAGATTGTTATATATTAATGCAAACTGATTTTTTAGAGCTTTTAGGCCGTTATTAGATAGACAGAAATTATTTTCTCCGAAGACCGAAAAGTTCGAAAAACTCACAAGTTTCAAGCAATAAAAGTGAAAGCTTAGTTCTTTTGATAACGTTTTATATGTTTGGCTTTTATTTTCAGATCAAATAGTTCGTCTACAGAACTTTCAATTAACACCCCGAAAGATGCCGGTAAATGGTCGATTTGGGCTTTAACTGTTTCAAGGGCTGGATTGAGGTTTTCCGCGCCCGTTAAACTAGAAGTATTCAGGTAAGAAAACTTCTTAAGAAGTAGATAGTTGCACTATTATCAATATTAATTAAAAAAGTTATTGCATTTGTCGAAAGATGCATTTGACTGAATTTATATTAGATCAGCAAAGATTCAAATTTACTACTGAAGATTTTCTTTAAATATCAAAACATGTTTTTTTCAGACCACTAACTGTTGACTTTCATCTTCCTCCAAGTTTAAAAGTGCGTGAAATTCTCGAAGTGGATATCAAGATCGGTAACAACATAAACTCCTGCGTCGATGTAAGTTTTCTGAAATTCTATTTAATTTCAATCCGTGAAATTGACTTCTTAAATTATTTCTTATTCTTAAAATATTTTTGTGCTTGCGAAGCTTGTCTTTGATAAGAAGTTTCAAACAGCGAATAATTCTTCAGGATTTGAAAAAAATTTGAAATTCTGTTTAAAATTACAAAAATATGCTATAAATTTCAAATTTTATTCGATCATTTAAATCGGTTTGAGAAATTCAGATTTGCATAAAAATTCAAAGGACTTAAAACGAAGGTTGATATTGCGTATAAATCTAAATCTAGTAGTAGAAGTGTTTCTTAATGAATTTGTTCTTTCTGAACTTAAATAATGAAATGAATGAAATGTTCTTTCTGAACTTAAATAAARCGGGCCATAAATCTCACTTCTCGCCTGTAAAAACTAGTGGTTGTATCAGTGCATTTTCTAATATATCATCCAATACCTACTTGTCAACGCTGAAGMAGCCAAATATTGCACTTTCAAACTCTTTATTCGAAACTCCCAACGCAATTGTAGTTGTTTTGAAATAACAAATCGTCTTTCAAGTGGAATTAAATTGACTTTGTAGCTGCAAAGTTTTTTTCGTCTTCGCCATATTTAACTTTCCGATGTCGTTTTCCCCGATTGAGTCGAGATGAAAGGAAACTTTTCACCGTATGGTTCGGCATGAACCAAAAGTTTAATCCGTTCCGTTTCGGCTGACCTGAAAATCGTCAAGAACTAACGCGACCTTATTGAAAAGTGCTAGACGGTCAATAAGCGTAAGCTGGGATTTCGGAACTGTTGAAAGTTGCTGTTTTCAAGAACAACAGCTCACTCGAGTGAAGTATTTGCCGACTTTATGTTCTTATGAAAATTTTATTCAAAATCGATAATTTGAAGAGTTTTATTCTGATGGAAAATAGGAGTAACGCTTGTTTAATCCAATGGAATTTGCAGATTTGCTAATTAATCGTTCTTAGGCACTAGAACAGTGTTTCTGCTGTTAACTTAAATAAAATTATTAACGCTGCCAGATACGTTAACGATATTCGAAATACAATTTTCCTACATACGTTTTTAGCCTTTGAGATTCAAATTATTTTTTTTTCCTAAATAAACCAACATTTTCCAACAAAAATCAAAAGTAACTGAAAAACGAGCTGTATTGCAGCAAGAAAAGCAAAGTTCACGAATGAATTTAAAGCAAGGTTTTGCAGTTTGAATGGCTAGAACAAAGTTAAGGTAATATTTTTGCGTAACAAACAAATTATTAAGTAATTCAATTTTAAATATTTAAATTCAAATCATCCCCGATTTGTTTCAACTATTTGTATAGGTAGTTAGAGCAGATTCCGTAAATTTGAAATATATATTGTTGAGAGAAAATTTGGAATTTTTGAGCTTTTTTATTAATTCACTTAATTTGCTATGCTATAATTTTAGTCAACTGAATGTTTTGAATTTTCCATAACGGTTTTTGTGCGACTTGCTCTTGCAGTTAGTTAATTTAGATTCCTTGCCTTAACGAGATTATGGAAAAATATATCACAACTGCATAAAGAAAGCGTAAAAATCGATTAGAAGTGAAACAAAATTGTAAGTAGTAGTGAAAGCAAAAAGTTTCACAAAAATAAAAGTAAATTATTAAAAAAAAAACGAAATAATTTTCTTAAATGAAACATTTTATGAAAGTTTTAATAAGCAGTCACATTGCGTCTATACTATTTCAGGTAACAGCACTTTTAGCTTTAAGCGAGGGAGCTCAATTTGTAAGTAATGGACTTCTATACGTTACTGAAAAATTGAGACTTGGTCCTCTGGGCGCAACTTCCTTAGTAGTAAAGATTCTCTCCGTTGTTCCAGGAGCAAAGAATTTAACTGGTAAGAGCCAATTTATTAATTTTATTTCAAGTTTTACTTTCAAATTTGTTGATTCACTTCCTTCCTTAATTTTTAAACTATCTCACCAGTAAAGATGAGCATTTTGTTGTTATTTATAAAAGTGTTAAGAAATTATTTGATATTTTGCAGTTTTCTAATGTAGTTTTTTATTAAATTACATCAAATTTGTCAGGAATTTGTTGTCCTTGACCAAGGATTTTAGACAAATATCAATGTTAGTTTAATTAGACATCATATTTACAAAATGGGTTTTGCGAAATGTAAAGCAAATTTATTAGTCAAAAATATATTATGTTTTTAAATACTTCTTTTCATCCCGCCAAAATATTCTTTTGTGCTGCAATATGATTACTTATATGGCGTTCACTGTCCTATAAATATTTTTCTTATGTTTTGTACGAGTATTTGTTCAGAAAATTTTTCCTTGCTCATCATTCTGTATCTTCAAACAATGATGCCGTAGACACTATTATTATAATTGTTGTTGTTCTTGCAATGTGAATCAGATTTAAAAGTTCTTACCCACTTTTATTGAGACGAATTTGACTGTTTTCAGTTGAGGTAAATGGATATGCGAGCTCCACGTGCGAAGGTCGGGAAAACATCAGTAATTCGACACTCTCTGGAGCAGTAATTCATTCGGCAACTGTGGAAGTTTTTTCCGAAGGATGTGAAAAGATCCACACAGAGAGTTCGTACTTTTGTGCAAACGGTAAGTTATTTATGTCCAGGTGATTAAGCTTCGCAAAAAAGTTTGTTGGTGCCATTTAAAAAACGTTTTTAAAAAATTTTGTTTTCGAAAATGGAACAAAGCCCTATTGAGAATACAAGACCTTTTTGATTTAGAATATATTTTACAGAGGAAACACCAATAGAAAGTCGAATTCACACAAAAATGACACTTGTTCTACATGTTTGCTGTTACGTTCGTATTAAAACAGGAAATTGAAAAAACACAATACACAATCCACCCACATGCTTTCTCGTCGTCCCTCGTAGCATAAATATTACATTCAAAAATATAAAAGCGATCTGCCAGGGAAAATATAAAGCCGAACTTACCTAAAGCTGCATCGTGCCTGAAAATAAGAAAAAAAGGTGTTTAGTGCACAGGAAATAATTCTAAGTCACATTGAAATTGGAATGTAAAAAAGCCGTAAAACATCTGTTCGCTCTCAAAAAACCTCCGTCAGTTCAAAATAGGAACGATTGTTATTTAACGTGTTATGTTAACGTTAACAGTGTTCCAGACGTGTAACCTGGAACTGCAGCTACACTATGCCAATTTAACCGGTTGTTCTTGGAACGGTCTCATAAACCCGAAAAAGGGGTTCGCACCAGCTCAGAACCAATATGGTACCGAAGAACTATTTGTTTAATGAACTAAATCATTATTTATCATCACTATTTCTACCATCATCACTATTGCGAATTTTTAATGAAAAACTTAAAAAGAAACATGTCACTTTTGGAACCTAATACCAAAGTATTAATAATCGTTTAGCATACCTCTGGTTCAACCCAAGTGTTTTAAAAAATGCCTACTTTTTTCGGGACACCCTGCATATGAGAGATCTATTTTATCAGGTTTCTGCATGCTGGGGCGCCATCCTAAACCATTTCCGCAAAAAGCCACTTGCACCAAAAGTTAACTTTAGATAAACCCATCCATAAACCAAAATGCCAATCCATAGGTGATATATTCCCGATTAAATATGACCACGACTGGCAAGACACGCTAATAAACTGGCAAATCTATTAAGTTCCTCGCAGGTATTAGGTAGAGCGAATATTAAGAAAATAAATTTCATTGATATCAGATAATTGTATATTATATAAATCTATTATTATCATCTTCCAAATTATTTATTATTCGGTATTTAAATGTCTATCTAGATTTTTGTAAATATTTCTCCACAAGACTTAAGTATCTGATTTGAGGGTTTTTTAACTGTATTACATTTAGAATTGAAGTTTTATTAAATAAGATTTTCTTTTTAAATTTATTGTAAATCTTCTCCTAGATTCAAACTCAAACTCAAATATGCTTTATTGCCACAGAAAATCTGAAATACACTTTATGGGCAAATCGAATGGCACATAATAATGAACACAAAAAAGCAGCAATACAACTTATATTGCATCAGTATCATTGTTCATTTTATGTTGATTTAATTTATAAATTTACTTTCCATAAACTCATGCTTCTATTTAGAACACCTGATGTTTTCAACAAGAGACAACTACAACTACCAATGGATGCAAGCGCCGAAACGTCGGGAAAGCATGATTGTTGAAGTGAAAGTATCCAGATCGAAAAGTCTGGGTCCAATTCATATCGCCTTGGCTGAATGCAAGACGCAACCGGATAAGGTGTATACAATTACTATTGGCGACGCCGATAATACTTTGAGCCACATTGGAAGAGGAAATCGACGTAAGTTTTATGAAGACGAAATGAAAAATAAAGCAATTTGCTCCAAGAGACCTAATAGGACGCAAACAAGAAAGTATATTGGCCCTTAACAAACCGAGCGGGTTTTTTTTTCTTCATCTATTATGAGATTTTCTTTACTAATCGAATATGGGTACACCCGGACAATCTATTCGGTGAATTAGACGCTAAATTGTAATTCAGCAAATTTAATGGCGGATATCTGGGAAACAGAAATTGCTTCTTATCCAAAGCTTTATAAGTTCTTCTTAAATTATCGGGAAAAACGGAATAAAACATTATAAACCCTCCATTGTTAATAAATCAGTTAATTAGTCATAAGGATTTAAATAATTCTTATAATAAATTAAAAAAAATTAACTGAGACTGACTAGAACGTTATTCAGATTTAGGAGTTCAACTCGCTTCCAGCGAGACTCCGGATATTTTAGGCGAAGACACATGGAAGCTCTATTGGATCTCGTGGAGCAACAATGTTATATCATTCGGTGCCGGATCGTCTCCGTCCAACAAAACGTTGCTAAAATGGAAAATGGATAAAAAGGTGAAAGTCGTCGAGATCGGTTTCGCTTCAGCTTGGGGCGCATTAGCCGGGTTCAGGTAAGACACTGAATAGAAAGATAAGTCATAAATATTAATAGCATTCAGGTCCAAAAAAATAAATAAATATATACGTCCTTGGCAGAAAAAAATCCAACAAGAATACAGGCTTTTATGTGTTTCATGAATAATGAAATTGTTTTTGCAATAATGGAATATACTCCTGAATAAAACTGATAAATCAAATGAGATAGACTTTCGAGGCCATTCCTTGAAACTAATGGGTTTTTTCGGGTTTTTTGAAGAAGAAATTCTTCCGAATGACGGCCTAAAAACCCTAAAAACCCATTAGTTTCAAAACTGATAAAGGTTGGTGTAGATGTAGTCGAAACGTCAGCGGGAAAAACTGACAAAAAGTCTAGATTCATGATTTTCGCTGTACATAAATAAACACTTATTCATGTCATATTCCAAGTGCTGCCTCTAAATGCACTTAAATATCAAAAGTATGCAAATATCCGGGAGCTAGTAAGAAAAACTCGGATTGAACAAACCGTTAACACTATCAATCTGCCACAATGACGAAGCCTACGATATCTGATGGATAAGTTAATGCGAAAGGGGATATGAATAATTGAATCCATTTTTCACGAAAATAGGCAGAAGTAACGAGACGTGTAGAAATTATTTTTTATGGTGATAAATCTTTGTGTTGACGGCAACTTCACAATGTAGCTTTTTGCTGATATTTTCCTACCCAATGTAGATCATTTTTTGATGGATTTTCGTTTCCAGGAGTCAAAAGGCTCTAAAATGTTAAGTTTGCTAATGCAATTATTAATCATAAAATTGCTGCTTCATTTTTTCGCAATTAATTATTTTATTAGGAGCAGTTAGTAATAGTAACAAGTCTAAAAAAATTGGATACATTTGAATATATTTTTTCCCACCAATAATTTTTGTTCGACGTCGTTATAGTTATTGCTGATATTGATTCTAACTTCAGTGAGGGACCATAATTTTTTATGTTTTATTAAACTGTAAATTTCAAACGCAACTTCAATGGTTTTTGGATAATTTGGACTTAATCCATTACTGTCACACCACGGTTTTTTACGAGACTAAAAAAGTTTAATTGACTTTAAGATACAGTTGGTGAAGACTAAATGCATTTTGCATTTTGCATCCTGCATATAAACCAGCAGGCAGATAAATAAACATAAAAGAAACCCAATGATTTGACAAAAAAACGTTCAATCGTTCAGCCTTTAGTTGATAAAATGAAAGAGCTTTCTATAATTTTGCGTCTTTTTGTTCGCGATCTCTTATCCTTTATATGCATATATATGATATTTGTTTTTCAGTTAATCATTTTAATTTTGAAGAAAATTGTATAAATTACATTCTGCTGTAATAAAGTTTTGCTTATCTGTTTCTAATGGTATTTTGTTTATGTTTTGTGTTTTGTTATTATTGTATTTTTAATTAAATATGTTGGTATTTTTGAACCATGAGCCATTGGATATTGGATATATTGGAATTGGATATTGTCCCCCCATATTGGATATAGCCAAAATCCTGCACAATCGGCACGTATTTACCGCTAGAGTAACCTATGAAAATATTATAAACATATTCAAGGAATTTTATATAATAAATCCTCAAAATGTTTTTTAGCTGGATATTTTCATACGAAGGCAGCAGGTTTCAGAAAACTGGAAAAATAATTAATGGAATGAAAATCGCAAATAAATATGAGATCGCATCACATTCACATGATAAAAATAAATTATTATGGCTCAGAATTGTTGGAGTTTTGCAACCAAATTTTCTATATTCGATGAACGCCCTTTTCGACCGATCCTTTGAAAATAAAAAAATATGAAATTAGCAAAAAGTTTTGTGATAATTTAATTTTGATTTTGTCGAAATTTGTGAATTTGTAAGTCGGTTAATTAAGCGTCCAATGAAGAAACTTGGACAATTATTGAAGTATTTGCAATGTATTCGTACCGAATTACTTTAATTCCGCCTTAATTATAAAATCTACGCAAGAACGTTAATTATTGTCTTTATTATCGGCTCTCCTATGTTTAAATACAAAAAAATCTATAAAACGTGTTTTTAATGTTGATAATGTAACACTTTCTTGAGAGACAAGATTCCTATAAGTTAAAATAATATTTATCAGTAAAACGTTTCTGAAAAAATCGATCAGGTTAAGATTAATCAACCTTGCAAACAATTACCTATTATTCAAAATATATATCAAATTAATTTCCCTAAAGTTGCTCAGTTGCTCTAAAGTTTCAATTTCGAAAAGTATAACTTTTTTATTGAAAACACCTAAAGGCAACTGTAACAGTTTTCATTTCAGTATACAAATGGGCAACTTAACTAAACATTAGCGGATTCCCATCGATTCGATTGGCTCCAGCACATAAATATAAATGTGCAAATTCGCTTCAAAGCAGAATGGAGAGAACAATCCGAGAGTTTTATTTTAGAAGCGATATCTTCCGGGAGACAAGTTCAAATTAAACACAGAGGCGATTGGTTTCCGGGCTGAAGTTATCATTAAATTAGAAATTCCGAAAGGAAAATGCGTTAAATTTAAATAAGCAAAAGGTGGGCGCAATGGAGTGAATTAATTTCAAACGCCCGAATTTCTATCGAATCGTGACTGGAGCGAATTTGTCGATTTGGTTCAAAGTAACTTTCCAAATTTGATGTATTGGAAATCAAGCTTTTGCATTACCAACTTCTTTTTGCCCCAGTTTTTCGGGAAGTTATGAAATACTGGATTTGGGAAATGTTTGTTTTTCTTTCGCGGAACCCCAACTTTGTCAAATTAGAACATGAGACCAAAGGAAAACTTGATGATTGGTAGTTATCAGACACTTGAAAATTACGGTTTTGCAACATTTTGCAACGGGCATTTTTACATTATCCACATATTTTTTTCTGTTTTCAGAGTGTGGAGCTTTGATGAAAAAGATGGTACGAGTGAAATCCTCGATCTCGACCGAATAAAAGATGCAGTCACCGACTCTCAAAGAGGCGATTTAACGTTCGTTGGAGGTTTAGCAATTCCCAGAACAAGCAAAACAGACGGAGGAGGTTTAGTTGGGGCTTTGGCCTCCTTAACACCTCTACTCACTGTGGGGCATATGAAAGTTACAAAACCGAATGATCATCTAAGACTGGATGTTGTTCGAGTGCTTCCTGAGACCGTAAGTAGTAATAAAAGCTGTATAAAATAATATTGGAGAGTCTAAGTGAAACAACAGTATTCAAGGTGATTGACCAGGGTAAAACTATTTTATTGGCATCTAGTTAATTTGAAAAATAATTAAAATTAGACACTTTACCTTAATTTTAGTAAATAGTCCTGTAAATTAGTTTCACTCATTTCTAAAGAGGTTCACCGGTTAGTTACTTCTTTCAATGAAAATGATAATATTGTACCGTGGATGGCCGAGTATCAAACTCTTTCTTCTGCTTCCAACTTTTATTCCACTCGGTACAACTTTAACTACGGAACAGGAACAAACTTACTTCAAAATTACCGTCAACTTCACAAACGATAACAATAACACACGGAAAACACGCGTTTCCGACTCGCGGGGTTTAACCTTCTTCTGCACTCCGTTGCGGCTGTCACTTCACTTTCCCCCCATGGTTCTCGTCGTCGCTTATATAGTTTTCTCCAGGTATCCCAGATAGTTCTCGAAATCTCCAGAACAGGTGCGAAACTTCCCGCTTGTCAGTGTCATATTTGACAGTAAATGGGGCCCAAATGGGGCACCCATTTACTGAAATACCATGAATTTCGATCCCCCATTCCAAACGTAAGTACCCCAGGCCATTTCCGTTACACTGCCCCCCTTCTAAACCCTGATCGCCCCGATTAGGTAA